TAAGTATATATATACTATATAATCTATATTTGATAATATATATATATACATATATATACCACTATAGTATATCTTATATACGTATATAATTAGTATTTAAACATATTCTCCACACGTATCAGTCTTACAACGGTGCTACACTAGATAGTTAACAACAGTCTACACAGGGTAGTCTTACAACAGTGCCACACGGGTAGTCTTACAACAGTGCCACACGGATAGTCTTACACAGTGCTACACAGATAGTCTTACAACAGTGCTACACAGAGTCTTACAACAGTGCCACACAGATAGTCTTACAACAGTGCCACACAGATAGTCTTACAACAGTGCCACACAGATAGTCTTACAACAGTGCCACACAGATGTCTTACAACAGTGCCACACAGTAGTCTTACACAGTGACCACACACAGTAGTCTTACAACAGTTGCCAAATAGTCTTACAACAGTGCCAAACAGTCTTACAACAGTGCTACACAGTCTTACAACAGTGCCACACAGTCTTACAACAGTGCTACACAGTCTTACAACAGTGCTACACAGTCTTACAACAGTGCTACACAGTCTTACAACAGTGCCACACAGTCTTACAACAGTACCACACAGTCTTACAACAGTGCCACACAGTCTTACAACAGTGCCACACAGATAGTCTTACAACAGTGCCACACAGTCTTACAACAGTCCCACAGATCTTACAACTCGACACAGTTACAACAGTGCTACAATCTACAACGTGCCACACAGTCTACAACAGTGCACACGTCTCAACATGCACTCAGTCTTACAACAGTGCCACACAGATAGTCTTACAACAGTGCCACACAGTCTTACAACAGTGCCACACAGATAGTCTTACAACAGTGCTACACAGTCTTACAACAGTGCCACACAGTCTTACAACAGTGCCACACAGATAGTCTTACAACAGTGCCACACAGTCTTACAACAGTGCCACACAGATAGTCTTACAACAGTGCTACACAGTCTTACAACAGTGCCACACAGTCTTACAACAGTGCCACACAGTCTTACAACAGTGCTACACAGTCTTACAACAGTGCCACACAGATAGTCTTACAACAGTGCCACACAGATAGTCTTACAACAGTGCCACACAGTCTTACAACAGTGCCACACAGATAGTCTTACAACAGTGCCACACAGTCTTACAACAGTGCCACACAGATAGTCTTACAACAGTGCCACACAGTCTTACAACAGTGCCACACAGATAGTCTTACAACAGTGCCACACAGTCTTACAACAGTCACACGAAGTCTTACAACAGTGCCACACAGTCTTACAACAGTGCCACACATGTCTACAAACAGTGCCACACAGATATCTTACAACAGTGCCACACAGGTCTTTACAACAGTGCCACACAGATAGTCTTACAACAGTGCCACACAGTCTTACAACAGTGCCACACAGATAGTCTTACAACAGTGCCACACAGTCTTACAACAGTGCCACACAGATAGTCTTACAACAGTGCACACATCTTACAACAGTACACACATCACAAGCATCCACACGTCTTACAACAGTGCCACACAGTCTTACAACAGCCACATAGTCTTACAACAGTGCCACACAGATAGTCTTACAACAGTGCCACACAGTCTTACAACAGTGCCACACAGATAGTCTTACAACAGTGCCACACAGATAGTCTTACAACAGTGCCACACAGATAGTCTTACAACAGTGCCACACAGTCTTACAACAGTGCCACACAGATAGTCTTACAACAGTGCCACACAGTCTTACAACAGTACCACACAGTCTTACAACAGTGCCACACAGTCTTACAACAGTGCCACACAGTCTTACAACAGTGCCACACAGATAGTCTTACAACAGTGCCACACAGATAGTCTTACAACAGTGCCACACAGTCTTATCTGACTTCAACAGTGCTACACAGTCTTACAACAGTGCCACAGATAGTCTTACAACAGTGCCACACAGTCTTACAACAGTGCCACACAGATAGTCTTACAACAGTGCCACACAGTCTTACAACAGTACCCACATTTACACATGCCAACATTCTTACAACAGTGCCACACAGTCTTACAACAGTGCCACACAGATAGTCTTACAACAGTGCCACACAGATAGTCTTACAACAGTAGCCACACAGTCTTACAACAGTGCCACACAGATAGTCTTACAACAGTGCCACACAGATAGTCTTACAACAGTGCCACACAGTCTTACAACAGTGCCACACAGATAGTCTTACAACATTGCTACACAATCTTACAACAGTGCCACACAGATAGTCTTACAACAGTGCCACACAGATAGTCTTACAACAGTGCCACACAGTCTTACAACAGTGCCACACAGTCTTACAACAGTGCCACACAGATATCTTACAACAGTGCCACACAGATAGTTTACAACAGTGCCACACAGATAGTCTTACAACAGTGCCACACAGATAGTCTTACAACAGTGCCACACAGATAGTCTTACAACAGTGCCACACAGATAGTCTTACAACAGTGCCACACAGATAGTCTTACAACAGTGCCACACAGATAGTCTTACAACAGTGCCACACAGATAGTCTTACAACAGTGCCACACAGATAGTCTTACAACAGTGCCACACAGATAGTCTTACAACAGTGCCACACAGTCTTACAACAGTGCCACACAGATAGTCTTACAACAGTGCCATACAGATAGTCTTACAACAGTGCCACACAGATAGTCTTACAACAGTGCCACACAGTCTTACAACAGTGCCACACAGTCTTACAACAGTGCCACACAGTCTTACAACAGTGCCACACAGAAGTCTTACAACAGTGCCCACATAGTCTTACAACATGCCACACAGATAGTTCTTACAACAGTGCCACACCAGTCTTACAACAGTGCCACACAATAGTCTTACAACAGTGCCTACACAGTCTTACAACAGTGCCACACAGATAGTCTTACAACAGTGCCACACAGATAGTCTTACAACAGTGCCACACAGATAGTCTTACAACAGTGCCACACAGATAGTCTTACAACAGTGCCACACAGTCTTACAACAGTGCCACACAGATAGTCTTACAACAGTGCCACACAGTCTTACAACAGTGACACACAGTCTTACAACAGTGCCACACAAGTCTTACAACAGTGCCACACAAGTAGCTTACAACAGTGCCACACAGTTATCACCACATGCCACACAGATAGTCTTACAACAGTGCTACACAGTCTTACAACAGTGCCACACAGATAGTCTTACAACAGCGCCACAAAGATAGTCTTACAATAGTGCCACACAGTCTTACAACAGTGCCACACAGATAGTCTTACAACAGTCCACACAGCTTTACACAGTGCACCCCAGATAGTCTTACAACAGTGCCACACAGTCTTAAACAGTCCCACAGTCTTACAACAGTGCCACACAGTCTTACAACAGTGCCACACAGTCTTACAACAGTGCCACACAATAGTCTTACAAAAATTGCCACACAGATATCTTACAACAGCCACACAGTCTCTTAACGTGCCACAAGTCTTACAACAGTGCCACACAGATAGTCTTACAACAAAGGGACAAAAAGATTAGTCTTACAATAGTGCCACAGTCTTACAACAGTCCACAAGATGTCTTACAAAAGTGCCACACAAGTCTTACAACAGCCACCAAGTCTTTCAACAGTGCCACACAGTCTTTTCAACAGTGCCACACAGTCTTACAACAGTGCCACACAATGTCTTACAACAGTGCTACACAGTCTTACAACAGTGCCACACAATAGTCTTACAACAGTGCTACACAGTCTTACAAAAGGCAAAAGTAGCTTACAACAGTGCCACACAGTTTTACAACAGTGCCACATAGTTTACAACAGTGCCCACAAAATCTTACAACAGTCCATCAAAGTCTTACAACAGTGCCACACAATTTTTACAACAGTGCCACAAGTCTTACAACAGTGCCACACAGATAGTCTTACAACAGTGCCACACAGTCTTACAACAGTGCCACACAGTCTTACAACAGTGCCACACAGTCTTACAACAGTGCCACACAGATAGTCTTACAACAGTGCCACACAGTCTTACAACAGTGCCACACAGATAGTCTTACAACAGTGCTACACAGTCTTACAACAGTGCCACACAGATAGTCTTACAACAGTGCCACACAGTCTTACAACAGTGCCACACAAAATCTACAACAGTGCAACACAAGTCTTACAACAGTGCCAAAAATAGTCTTACAACAGTGCCACACAATAGTCTTTACAACAAGTGCCACACAGATAGGGCTTACAACAGTGCCACACAGATAGTCTTACAACAGTCCACACAGTTCTTACAACAGGCCCACAGATAGTCTTACAACAGTGCCAACAGATAGTCTTACAACAGTGCCACACATATCTTACAACAGTGCCACACAGATAGTCTTAAACAGTGCACCCCGATGTCTTACAACAGTCCACACAGATAGTCTTACAACAGTGCCACACAGATAGTCTTACAACAGTGCCACACAGTCTTACAACAGTGCCACACAGATAGTCTTACAACAGTGCCACACAGTCTTACAACAGTGCCACACATATAGTTTTACAACAGTGCCACACAGATAGTCTTACAACAGTGCCACACAGATAGTCTTACAACAGTGCCACACAGATAGTCTTACAACAGTGCCACACATATAGTCTTACAACAGTGCCACACAGATAGTCTTACAACAGTGCCACACAGATAGTCTTACAACAGTGCCACACAGATAGTCTTACAACAGTGCCACACAGTCTTACAACAGTGTCACGCAGATAGTCTTACAACAGTGCCACACAGTCTTACAACAGTGCCACACAGATAGTCTTACAACAGTGCCACACAGATAGTCTTACAACAGTGCCACACAGATAGTCTTACAACAGTGCCACACAGATAGTCTTACAACAGTGCCACACAGATAGTCTTACAACAGTGCCACACATATTCTTACAACAGTGCCACTCAGATAAGGCGGAATAAGCCGGAGGTGCCACCTTCTCCAGCCTCAGCTGCCGCCTGACTGAGCTTGCCACCCGTGGCACAGTGCCACCCGTGGCAGAGTGCTACCTCCCTCTTGTCTAGTTGCCTAAGGCAGCCATGTGGCTGATGGGGAAAACACAGAAATATGGCTGATTTATGGTTTTTCTTCGCCGATCTGATAATATTGTCCTCAGCCAACTGGCTGAAGCAACCATCTGTCCCATAGCTGGGTTGGTAGCAACCATCTGTTCCATAGCTGGGTTGGTAGCAACCATCTGTTCCATAGCTGGGTTGGTAGCAACCATCTGTCCCATAGCTGGGTTGGTAGCAACCATCTGTCCCATAGCTGGGTTGGTAGCAACCATCTGTCCCATAGCTGGGTTGGTAGCAACCATCTGTCCCATAGCTGGGTTGGTAGCAACCATCTGTCCCATAGCTGGGTTGGTAGCAACCATCTGTCCCATAGCTGGGTTGGTAGCAACCATCTGTCCCATAGCTGGGTTGGTAGCAACCATCTGTCCCATAGCTGGGTTGGTAGCAACCATCTGTCCCATAGCTGGGTTGGTAGCAACCATCTGTCCCATAGCTGGGTTGGTAGCAACCATCTGTCCCATAGCTGGGTTGGTAGCAACCATCTGTCCCATAGCTGGGTTGGTAGCAACCATCTGTCCCATAGCTGGGTTGGTAGCAACCATCTGTCCCATAGCTGGGTTGGTAGCAACCATCTGTCCCATAGCTGGGTTGGTAGCAACCATCTGTCCCATAGCTGGGTTGGTAGCAACCATCTGTCCCATAGCTGGGTTGGTAGCAACCATCTGTCCCATAGCTGGGTTGGTAGCAACCATCTGTCCCATAGCTGGGTTGGTAGCAACCATCTGTCCCATAGCTGGGTTGGTAGCAACCATCTGTCCCATAGCTGGGTTGGTAGCAACCATCTGTCCCATAGCTGGGTTGGTAGCAACCATCTGTCCCATAGCTGGGTTGGTAGCAACCATCTGTTCCATAGCTGGGTTGGTAGCAACCATCTGTCCCATAGCTGGGTTGGTAGCAACCATCTGTCCCATAGCTGGGTTGGTAGCAACCATCTGTCCCATAGCTGGGTTGGTAGCAACCATCTGTTCCATAGCTGGGTTGGTAGCAACCATCTGTCCCATAGCTGGGTTGGTAGCAACCATCTGTTCCATAGCTGGGTTGGTAGCGCACTCAGTTCACACCCTGAGGTCCGTGGTTCGATTCTCCGTACGGGTAGAAACATCAGGACGTGTTCCCTTAAGACACCTGCTGTCCATATTCACCTAGCAGTAATATGGGTACGTGGGTGTTAACCGACTGGTATGGGTCCCATCCTGGGGACGGAATTAGCCTAAGTCGCGAGAAATGTTCTGCATAACCAGGGGCTTTCTGTACAGTATGTCACTGATGTCAGCTATGGTCTGTGTAAGTTGTGTCATGTACTTGTAGAAATAATAATAATAATAATAATAATAATAATTATTATTATTATTATTATTATTATTATTATTATTATTATTATTATTATTATTATTATTATTATTATTATTATTATTATTATTATTATTATTTTCACAGCCAGTTGGCTGTGAAAACTTTACTCATTATTTTAGGTGTTAAAGTACTCTTGACTGGTAGTGAACATGTGACATACAGCCTTAATGACCCTCGTGTAGTAGATAGTCTTCAAACCCCATTAACCAGTCAACTTGCATCTTTAACGAAATACGTCAGTATCCCAGAATATTGTAAATAATTAAGATTGTAACGTCACGTTCAGATTGTAACGTCACGTTAAGAGTGTAACGTCACGTTCATATTGTAACGTCACGTTAAGAGTGTAACGTTACGTTCATATTGTAACGTCACGTTCAGATTGTAACGTCACGTTCATATTGTAACGTCACGTTCATATTGTAACGTCACGTTCAGATTGTAACGTCACGTTAAGAGTGTAACGTCACGTTCAGATTGTAACGTCACGTTCATATTGTAACGTCACGTTCAGATTGTAACGTCACATTAAGAGTGTAACGTCACGTTCAGATTGTAACGTCAGGTTCATATTGTAACGTCACGTTCAGATTGTAACGTCACGTTCAGATTGTAACGTCACGTTCATATTGTAACGTTACGTTCATATTGTAACGTCACGTTAAGATTGTAACGTCACGTTCATATTGTAACGTCACGTTAAGAGTGTAACGTTACGTTCATATTGTAACGTCACGTTCAGATTGTAACGTCACGTTCATATTGTAACGTCACGTTAAGAGTGTAACGTCACGTTCAGATTGTAACGTCACGTTCATATTGTAACGTTACGTTCATATTGTAACGTCACGTTCAGATTGTAACGTCACGTTCATATTGTAACGTCACGTTCAGATTATAACGTCACGTTCAAAGTGTAACGTCACGTTCAGATTGTAACGTCACGATCGGATTGTAACGTCACGTTCATATTATAACGTCACGTTCAGATTGTAACGTCACGTTCATATTGTAACGTCACGTTCAGATTGTAACGTCACGTTCAAAGTGTAACGTCACGTTCATATTGTAACGTCACGTTCAGATTGTAACGTCACGTTCAAAGTGTAACGTCACGTTCAGATTGTAACGTCACGTTCAAAGTGTAACGTCACGTTCAGATTGTAACGTCACGTTCAGATTGTAACGTCACGTTCAGATTGAAACGTCACGTTCAGATTGTAACGTCACGTTCAGATTGTAACGTCACGTTCAAAGTGTAACGTCACGTTCAGATTGTAACGTCACGTTCAAAGTGTAACGTCATGTTCAGACTGTAACGTCACGTTCAGATTGTAACGTCACGTTCAGATTGTAACGTCACGTTCAGATTGTAACGACACGTTCAGATTGTAACGTCACGTTCAGATTGTAATGTCACGTTAAGATTGTAACGTCACGTTCATATTGTAACGTCACGTTCAGATTGTAACGTCACGTTAAGAGTGTAACGTCACGTTCAGATTGTAACGTCAGGTTCATATTGTAACGTCACGTTCAGATTGTAACGTCACGTTCAGATTGTAACGTCACGTTCATATTGTAACGTTACGTTCATATTGTAACGTCACGTTAAGATTGTAACGTCACGTTCATATTGTAACGTCACGTTAAGAGTGTAACGTTACGTTCATATTGTAACGTCACGTTCAGATTGTAACGTCACGTTCATATTGTAACGTCACGTTAAGAGTGTAACGTCACGTTCAGATTGTAACGTCACGTTCATATTGTAACGTTACGTTCATATTGTAACGTCACGTTCAGATTGTAACGTCACGTTCATATTGTAGCGTCACGTTCAGATTGTAACGTCACGTTCAAAGTGTAACGTCACGTTCAGATTGTAACGTCACGTTCAGATTGTAACGTCACGTTCAGATTGAAACGTCACGTTCAGATTGTAACGTCACGTTCAGATTGTAACGTCACGTTCAAAGTGTAACGTCACGTTCAGATTGTAACGTCACGTTCAAAGTGTAACGTAATGTTCAGACTGTAACGTCACGTTCAGATTGTAACGTCACGTTCAGATTGTAACGTCACGTTCAGATTGTAACGTCACGTTCAAAGTGTAACGTCACGTTCAGATTGTAACGTCACGTTCAAAGTGTAACGTAATGTTCAGACTGTAACGTCACGTTCAGATTGTAACGTCACGTTCAAAGTGTAACGTCACGTTCAGATTGTACGGTCACGATCGGATTGTAACGTCACGTTCATATTATAACGTCACGTTCAGATTGTAACGTCACGTTCATATTGTAACGTCACGTTCAGATTGTAACGTCACGTTCAAAGTGTAACGTCACGTTCAGATTGTAACGTCACGTTCAAAGTGTAACGTCACGTTCAGATTGTAACGTCACGTTCAGATTGTAACGTCACGTTCATATTGAAACGTCACGTTCAGATTGTAACGTCACGTTCAGATTGTAACGTCACGTTCAATGTAACGTCACGTTCAGATTGTAACGTCACGTTCAATTGTAACGTCAGTTCAGATCTGTACGTCACGTTCAGATTGTAAACGTCACGTTCAGATTGTAACGTCACGTTCAGATTGTAACGCACGTTCAGATTGTAACGTCACGTTCAGATTGTAAGTCACGTTAACGATTGTAACGTCACGTTCATATTGTACGGTCACGTTCAGATTGTAACGTCACGTTCAAAGTGTAACGTCACGTTCAGATTGTAACGTCACGTTCAGATGTAACGTCACCTTCAGATTCGAACGTCACGTTTCAGATGTAACGTCACGTTCAGATCGTAACGTCACGATTCAGAGTGTAACGTCACGTTCATATTAACGTCACGTTCAGATTGTAACGTCACGTTCAATTGTAAGTCACGTTCAGATTGTAACGGTGCACGTTCAAAGTGTAACGTCACGTTCAGATTGTAACGTCACGTTCAAGTGTAACGTCACGTTCAGATTGTAACGTCACGTTCAGTTGTCGTCACGTTCAGATTGGAACGTCACGTTCAGATTAACGCACGATTTAGATTGTAACGTCACGTTCAGTATTATAACGTCACGTTCAGATTGTACGTCACGGTTCAATTGTAACGTCACGTTCATATTGTAGGGACACGTTCAGATTGTACGTCACATTCAGATTGTAACGTCACGTTCGTATTGTAACGTCACGTTCAGACTGTACCGTCACGTTCAGATCGTAACGTCACGTTCAGACTGTACCGTCACGTTCAGATCGTAACGTCACGTTCAGGCTGTACCGTCACGTTCAGATCGTAACGTCACGTTCAGGCTGTACCGTCACGTTCAGGCTGGCACGTTCAGACTGGCACGTTCAGGCTGGCACGTTCAGGCTGGCACGTTCAGGCTGGCACGTTCAGGCTGGCACGTTCAGGCTGGCACGTTCAGGCTGGCACGTTCAGACTGGCACGTTCAGGCTGGCACGTTCAGGCTGGCACGTTCAGACTGGCACGTTCAGGCTGGCACGTTCAGGCTGGCACGTTCAGGCTGGCACGTTCAGACTGGCACGTTCAGGCTGGCACGT